GGATAGATAAACTAGCCACACAACACTGACCACATATGGATAGATAAACTAGCCACACAACACTGACCACATATGGATAGATAAACTAGCCACACAACACTGACCACATATGGATAGATAAACTAGCCACACAACACTGACCACATATGGATAGATAAACTAGCCACACAACACTGACCACATATGGATAGATAAACTAGCCACACAACACTGACCACATATGGATAGATAAACTAGCCACACAACACTGACCACATATGGATAGATAAACTAGCCACACAACACTGACCACATATGGATAGATAAACTAGCCACACAACACTGACCACATATGGATAGATAAACTAGCCACACAACACTGACCACATATGGATAGATAAACTAGCCACACACCACTGACCACATATGGATAGATAAACTAGCCACACAACACTGACCACATATGGATAGATAAACTAGCCACACAACACTGACCACATATGGATAGATAAACTAGCCACACACCACTGACCACATATGGATAGATAAACTAGCCACACACCACTGACCACATATGGATAGATAAACTAGCCACACAACACTGACCACATATGGATAGATAAACTAGCCACACACCACTGACCACATATGGATAGATAAACTAGCCACACACCACTGACCACATATGGATAGATAAACTAGCCACACAACACTGACCACATATGGATAGATAAACTAGCCACACAACACTGACCACATATGGATAGATAAACTAGCCACACACCACTGACCACATCTGGATAGATAAACTAGCCACACAACACTGACCACATGTGGATAGATAAACTAACGCGAGCTGAAGTTGTCATGTTCAAGAAAACAAGATTTATTTACATGGAAATCACATGGTAAAGAAGCTGATAGAACATACACGTCCTTGATATGGTGTTGTACATCAGAACCAATCCCTACATACATTACATTACAGCCAAGGTGTACCGTACTTCTGAACCAGTCCCTACATACATTACAAAGTACACCGACATCAGAACCAGTCCCTACATACGTTTCAACGTGCACCGTACTTCAGAACCAGTCCCTACTTTCATTACAATAAGTACCGTACTTCAGAACCAGTCCCTACATACATTACAATAAGTACCGTACTACAGAACCAGTCCCTACATACATTACAATCAAAGTTTCAAAGCCACAGCTAAGCGCCTTACCCAAACACCAATATCTACACTGCTATAAAAGTTACTCCTCACACACATGCAACTCAATGCAACTCAAAGGCTTACATCAAATCATATGGGCATTTCAAAATAAAGGAGAAAAAAATGCATCAGCCATTACATTTACAGATGAATACATGGCATATTGTGTTTAAGTTTAAGTAAGTCAGCTTGGAGAAGGTATTCTTTAAAGCAAGATAGAAGCGTGTCCATGAATTACTTGAAAATCTGACCACTGGAAAAAGGGGATTTATTATCTTTTAAAAATAATTATTAATTATGATGTCACTATAAAATTTCAACCAAAAAAATTAATTAACTAATTAACTGCCTATAAATTCTATAAAATGGACAATGATGAAGGGGAAAATAAGCAATGAAATGAAGTCAAATACTTAGATAAACATTAGAAGTTCCGGTTTATTATTTTTTTTTTAAATACAAGCAGCAACTGTAAACTTGAAAAAAGAAATCCCAATAATAACAATGTATTCATACACCGCAAAATACAACAGATTTTACTACACAGTATAATTTATAATAGTTTTGTATATAAAAATGACAACAGTTTTCAACTGTAAAAAAATACTTTGGTTTAATGTATGATACAATATTTAACAAACATTTTTTTAATGAAACATTAATTACAAGAGATAAACGATCGCCATTTTCCAGTCCAGTGCACATTAACAACACCCCCCCCCCCCCCAATCCCCCCAACACCAACCCAAATCCAACAGAACCAAAGAGAAAAAAATCTATCAATGAAATTTATTTTAAAAGATTATGTACCAAACTAGTGAAAGCCATTAAGTTTTAAACAATGCAGAGCAGAAGTAAGTGTTGGGCGATATGTTTTAGTGATCTTAAAATTATTCTAAGGCTCGTATAAATGTCTAGTGCCATACTAATTGATAACAAATTGTTGCTCAGACATGATTTTTACTGTCTTGAGCAGAGACACCAAATTTCGTGCTGATATAAACTAACATGAAATATAAAGTTAAAAAAAGATTTTCCTGACTAATCCTTTAAAAAAAAAAGTTTAAAAAATAATGGAGCAAACATGGTTGAAACTATTCAATAAAAAGAAAAAAAGGATAGTTAAACTTTAACTAAGTGTAGGCGTATAGTGACTATACCGTATAGTCAACATAACATGCAAACTGCAAGCTATTTGAAACTATTCAGTAAAGATCATTAAAATAAAAAAGAAGTGTAACCCCACTCTTCAAATTAACTCTTGCTAAATTTAAGACCATCTCAACTTCAAAAGAGGTCACGGTTGGTCCAAAGCAACAAAACAAAAATCTGTTTGTCTTCAGCTACAGGGTCAGATTTAAGGGCGTTAAGTCTGAATTGACCTATTTGATGCCAAGACTTGGTGGCACCAAAAATGATAGACGGAGTGCTCTCCTCATCCTAAATGAATTAGAGACTCAAACAGGTTTCAAATTTCAATAAACTTTCAAAATGAAGTTCTTACATTAAAATCTCCTGTTCAAAATCCAACTTCCTTTGTGTGTGTGTGTCAATATATGCTGTATTTATAAAGTGTGCATTTGATTGCTGTACGGGGAAATGCTCATTGAATTGACACTGCTTTTACCTAAGGATTGGTGAGAGGTAGAATGTTGATTTGAAATTCGGTTTAACATGGCTGGCTGTAGAAAGACCGATGGCACTAATTCATGTTTTTTTTTCTTTTCCATTTTTGCTTTTAAAGGCAAGGTAGATCATCTAAAATAATAAACCTAACATGGGAGACAAGCAGTATGAAGAATGAATTTAATAAAAGAATTAATTTTTTTTTTTAAATGGGGACTTTGAAATAACTCACTGACACCAAGATTAAATTTATAAACAACACTAAGATTAAATTTATAAAAGTGTCCAGTATTTTTAAAAAAAATCTCACCAATTGGCAACAAGATCGGATGAAGTCATAAGCCTGGAATCGGGTTCTCTGTTTCCAACTGTATAAATTATACTTTAAACATTATGTCAAAGCTCATGCCTAGCTCAACTTACTAAGGCTGAGAGTTGCCAAATGTGGTGTGCTCTTCTGTCTCCATTGGTCCTCCAGCAAAGAGAATATGTAAATTAAAGTTTGATTTACTTGACAATTTACAGGAATGATTTTGTTTAATAGGTATAGTTAATTAAGTGGTTTAGCTAATCGGTGCTGGTTCTTTTTAATTACCGGTAGTTCCTTAAATTGTAATTGGATTAGGAGCCTTTGACTTAGAGAAATATAACTAACTGGGAAATTATAATTTGTAGGCCTACCAGTACTACAACCTATGGGTAATCTTGATAAAATCCAATTTTAATCAAAATTACAGAAATAATATTCTGTAAATGTAAATACTTTTTAATATAATAAATTCAGGTCTAACTTTAGGTATTAGAAGCAAAATACTGCTAATAAACAAAATCCTCTCAATTTAAGAAATCAAAAATATATAAAAGATTTCTTTTAATATTTCTTAAAGATTATATTAAAAAAATAACTAAGCCTATCAAAGCTCTGTCACACCAAATAATAGGAATATTTCATATTTTACATAAGTTTTATTCATCATTTTTATTTCATATATTTGCATAACAACCCAACAGCATCAGTGAAGAAAATATTCTGAATAAAAAAAAAAATATTAACTAAGAATACACTGCCATGGTAGGGATCCTGTATTAAGTTATCAAAGCATGTAATTGTAGCTCTTATGTCTCTCAACACCATCCTAGACTATGGCTAATGACTTGACATGATATACTATTATACATCTTGATATATGGACAAGTTATTTCTTTGTAGAAAAGGAGGAAATTCTTCATAATAATGCCTATCTTTACCAGGATTACATAAGTAATTAACCACAAAAAAACTTGTACTTATATCTGTAGCTTTAACAAAACTTTAAAAAAAAAAAGAAGGATAAAGCACCCAATAATATTTCTAACTAAGTTATTGTAGAAAATGGTAAGTTAACAGCCCCTATTAAAATAGATTACAACATGTACCAGTTAAGCATATTCTAAGCCTTTAAAGTTTAATTGGAGTTAGAAAAACAATTTCAAAAAATTAAAATACACCTTTATTTTTAAAAAAAAAATGAAAACTTTCTTTACAGATCAAATGTAAAATCATGGATTGTAAACTTAAATACTATTTTGAATGTAAGTAAATGAAAAAAACGGAAAATAAACATGATTTGCCTCTTGCATTTCAATGTCACATTAAAATTAACATACATTGTGATACATGTGTATATTAGAAGATTTGAAGACCAAAAAATAAACTTTAAACAAAATAGTGATCACCAAACTTCTGAGTTGTAAGACAATTAGGCCTACAAACAGTGCAATTTGGTGAACAAAATTCCTCGTGCAATACAATTCTGCACAATCACAACATCAAAATTATAAAAATAAAAGAGGAACGATCCAAATACACAACATAAATCCAGCCATGGAAAATTACAAATAATGCACATTATTTTTTTTTTTAAAGCTGCCTTGTTGAAACTAAATTTGGCATATACCTAATACCATAAATACAAATAAAGAAATAGCATTCCCATATTTAAAAAGCAGTCAATCTTTGATTAATTAAAAAAAAAACCAGTCACATACATACAGTCGTGTAAGCTACAACTAAAATAAAATTTTATTTAAAAAAAAAAAAAAAAAAAAAAAAAAAAACAAGAAAAAAAAAAAAAATAGAAAAAAAAAAAACAAAAAAAAAATTTTATTAAAAAAAAAAAAAAAAAAAAAAAAAAAGATATCTTGCACATCTGATTCAGTACCGGTATGTATGAAAAAAAAAAGGAGAGGGAGAAGGGTGGGGGAAGGATGTACAACAATAAAATAAAAGATGTTGCCAACGTGCTGATTATAATTATATGCCGTACCATAATGTAATAATGTATTCATAATATCAGGGATTATACATAACAGTAGTTAGTAGGCTATTGCCACTGCCACAATACTTCCATTATCTATTACTATTACTATCATTAAGATTAGCCATGAAAGTGATCGGTCCTAATAAATAATGTTAACACTGTAAATGTAAAGTGTAAAGGGGTAGAGCGCGTAAATTTTGAAAATGTCTGAAAATTTAAGAGGATTTTTATTTATAAAAAGGACAGGACAGATAAGCCCAATATTAATGTTCTGGTAATACTAGTTCTAGTATGCCTACATAATTTTAGAAACGCCAAGCCGTGCAAAAAATGTGGAGCAACCGGCTGGGTTTGGTGAAACCCTGGCAAAGTTTGGCAAAAACATCGCCGCAGCTCCAAACGTTGTAAACAACTTGTGACCTGGTTTAGAGCAGATCTGAAAATCTACGGTTCCACATTTGTATCAAAACAAAAACTTTTATGTATTTTTACACCAGCAAGAAAAAAAAATCGATACACTAAGAATAATCATGTGCTAAATAGCCAAAACAAAATAGAATTTTGATCTTAATAAAAGTAAAACTGAAGAAAATTAACAAGTAAAAAAAAAAAAAATATGGTCAAGTACTACCTACTAAAATAAATGTTATAAGTTATAGCAACAGCTTACAATAACATCTTTTTTTTCTCCCACTACAGAATTACAATATAATAGTTATTCTTCCTTACAGAAAGAATCAGATGATCAATACATCCCATAAAGTAGCACACAAACTCCAAAAGGAAAAAGTGACTGCAATCAGTCAAAAGCAATATCAATAGGGCATCGTATGTATTTGGTTTCTAAACACACTTGGTCACACACTGATACGTCACTGGCCCAGAGTCAGCAAACCTCCAGAACAATTTGGATGGTCAAGAAAACGTCAAAATGCATGTTTAAAAAAAGTGACAGTACAACGATGACATGGCTACAGTGTTTTTAGGACAAAGTTGAGACTAGGAATCTGCCTAGCACTGGCCACATATAGGTTCCTTGACACTGAAGGTATCAGACAGGGGCCTAATGAAATGGTAGTCATTTGCTTTGCAGTAAGGACATATAATCATGCGACTGTACTGGCTGTAGAAATCAAGGCCTATGGACACATCTATGACCGCACGACGACAGTGCTTACACGTTAATCGCTTCTGGCAACAAGGCATGGCAGCAAAGATATCGTAGGTGTACATGGTACCCACAACAAATGATGTACCGTCCCAGAGCGTCTTGCAAGCAGAGCACTTGGCTTCACATGCACCTTCTAGACAGCCAATACACACTGCGTTCAGAAACTGGATCCTTCCCTCCCATATCACCTGGACTACGTGCTGATCGTACGCTTGTGGGGAAAGAAACATGGTACCGTCAACCAAAGGAAACCGATCAAAAACAGGCAGCTGAGTTTTGCACAAAACGCAGCGCAAAGCTGTCATTCGCTTGTTGGTTAAGTTGCTGAGGACAAAGTTGCGCGTGTCTTCATCCTCTTGAACATCTTCAATGTGAATGTTGTAAGGGTTTCGCTTGTACCGAGGTAGAGCATTGAAAGCAGACAAGTCCTGGCGACGGCGGAAGAGGCCTCCTTGGTTTGGGTCAAATGTTTCTGGCTTTTTCCCCTTAAAAAATATGTTACCAATGACCGGAGAGCTGGACAATGGTGACATGGAACCAGCAGAGCTCGGTATGCTTCCACTGCTGCTGGCCTGACTGCCAACGCTTCCGGTACTGCTGACGCTGTTGGTGCGCATACGTAAAGCATTGCTCGGTAACATTAAAGGGTTGTTGGTGTAGGCGAGATTGCTGACACTGTGGTGCGCACTGTTATCAAGTATTTCCAAGTCGGCACCAAAGTCGTTTTGATTGCTACTATTGTTTCTACTTCGATCCTTGTTAGCTAGGGTGCCACCGGGATTGTTGTTAATGGTGTTGTCGCTACCGCGCCTAATATTGGTAGTAGTGTTGGCCGGTTCTTTCTTCAGTAATTTTGTAGCGTTGTCTACGTGTTGAGAGGGTTGTATATGACCGTGGTTGTCCACTAGATGTAGCGGTTGGTGGTTAGTGTTGGAATTATGGCCTGCTTTATGATTTGTACTCACCACTGGCATGGGCTTATCATTTTTCTTCTTGTTCTTACGCACTTTTTTGGCATTTTCGTTAAAAGGAGCAGGAAAATAATCCAAATCTTTACGTAAATGCCCGCGGCCACATTTACAGTCACATGCTTTATAAGCTAGATCGTAGCCTTTCTTGGTCCACAGATTTTGTAATCTTTGCTTTTCGCTCCAACTTCTTGCGCGACCGCAAGATCTCAGGAAAGAAAGTACAGATTTTTCCCATTCAATGAAACAAAACTTATGCATCCAATTTCCTTCAGTGCACGCATCATTATTGCAAACGACTCTAACAGCATCCTCTGGGTCGTTAGGATCAATCGGATCATCATTGCAACCAGCGGGAACGCAACAATTTTGGAGACGAGCACCGCCGTTTTCACCATTCTGATGATTTTGGTGCTCCATACGCTGGTTGTTTACATGTTGATTTCCGATCTGAATGTTATTCGGAGCTTCTTCATGTCCAAGGCGATGGCCCTTTTGATGCTTTAGATTAGGCATTGCAGTGTAAAATAATAATTCCAAAAAAATCAAACAGTCAAATAGAAATGCACAGTTAGTAGCAGTAATTTCTTCGCTCTGTACTAAACACAAATGCCGGTTCGACTGGAGATGTGAGTGTTTTGATTCCGCGTCGAGGAGGTGTGTCAGTCGGGGTTTTGTTGGGGAAATGTAAGCGTGGCTGTGATTGGCTGTTAGGTCTCGTGCCTGTCGGCGGTGCATTCTATTGGTGAAATTGCCATGACCTTGTAAACTCATTCTGGTTTATGTTAATGAGGTGTTTACATCGCTAGGGTTTTTAGGTCGAGGTCTCGTACCTTGCTTGCCGGCCGGCCGGTGAATAAAAAAACAAAACTTTTCAAACTACTAAACAGTTATTAAGCAGGCTCTAAATATTTTTTCGTCAGCTATAACGTGATACGTATTTATATGAATTACCTCCTCTGCACTGGGCACTTGATCTAAGTCTAATGTGCAATATGATGAAATCAGACCAAAGCTACTTTACTCTGAGTCAAGGCTACAGCTACAGTCATATAATACAATTAGTCAATTAGGCTTACAGGCTTACACTTACAACCTATTTTTTTTTAAAAATGTTATAACTAATGCTAAAAATACATTGTGTCCAATCGCTGCACAATCATTATAAGATAGCCGTTGCTTCAAGTGGCGTCTCTTGTATGTTTTGTTTTGCTGTTGTGGAAAATATTTATAGAGCAGCTTATTAAATTAATTTAAACCCTAGATATCTCTCTCTCTCTCCCCCCCTCTCTCTCTCTATCAGATTATCTTCCCCCCAACCCTCTCTCTCTAATCTATATGCATTAAATCGTTATTATACTCGTTCCATACGCTGTCTGCTACATTTAAATCTTTATAGCAGACTCAACGATTATTCGGAAATTAAAAAAAAAATTTTTTTTTTGTTAGTATTTAATCACACACAATATGATTTTTATTACAAGTACATGGGTAATAGATTAGTTATTACTTATAGAACTTACAGTGCACTACATGAGATAAACTGACAGGGCCACGGTCCACAGCTGTTGTGTTTTTAAATCACACCTTACCTCTTGACAAAATGACTGAACTTCGTGTTTTTTTTTGTTTTTTTTTTGGGACACATATTCTCAAATTAATTGATTATGGTGTATGACAGTGGCGTAGGAAAGGTGCGGTGCACTCGGGCGGCGCTCCCCCCCCTCTTAATATGGAGGGGAAGGATATTCAACTACATAGTTGTTTTGTTTCGTCGAAGCGGCAACACAACTGTTTTCCCGTTACGGCGGCACTAACACTAGCTACGCCACTGGGGGTGCCTTCTTGAAAATGTGCCGCATTTACTTCAACCCAATGACCAGAGGCAGCATGTGCACAGACTTAAAGGGTCATTGACCAGTAACTCAAACAAATCAACATTTTGTTTTCAAAATCAAGACGCCGCTAAAGATTTTTTTTTTTTTAAACATTGTGACGCATGACCGTCGTTGTAGTGTGCGTTTATATTCAAATCACGACTCAGTGTTTTTTTGTTTTTTTTTATTAATTTTTTTTTTTTAAGCACCTGCATAAACTTGCTCGGACTCACCAAGACGTACCATATCCCTAATATCAGGGATAGGTCACTTCTGCTTCCTCTTCAAAAAACTGTTTCTTTAACTGTCTCACTTTAGATAAAGCCAGAGGGGGGAATGAAGTAACGGAGAGAGGGATATATATATATATATATATATATATATATATATATATATATATATATATATATATATNATTTTTTTTAAATTTCGGACTTTTTTTTTGGACCTCCGCCGAACCCCTGAGACTGACTCACCGTACCCCTGGGGTTCGATCGAACCCGGGTTAAGAACCACTGGTCTAACACCTTAAATATGCTAGCTTGAAGTGAAGTAGGCCTATATAGTTTGATTGTAACTCTGCCATGTTGAAACTGTTTCATCTTGAGTATGAGATTGAGATCTTAATATTAAATGAAGTCATGATAAATTTATTTGCTCTTTCCGCTTTAAACAAAATAATAACAGCTTTGCTTCTTTCTTTATATCTTATTTTACAAATTAAATTGATTAAAATAATTAATAATAACTTGTTGCATTTGTTGTTTTTTTTCTAATCTCTTTGCTATTTGTGTCTTTTAGCTTAAATTTTTAAAGTCCACTTACCAAAAGTTTTATATATATATATATATATATATATATATATATATATTTATATACACAAATTATATGTTCTGATTTGTCCAAGTTTTAATTTTGCAAAAAACCGAAAAGGAAAGCGGAAGAGAAATGATGATGGTTCAAGGTTCAAGGTCACGGATAAAGCCATCTGCTACCCCCTTTATTATTATTTATTTTCATTGTTCCCTTTACTTCCATAAAAAAAGTTTGTTGAAATATATGTCTATGCAATAATTAAAATATTCACAAAAATAAAAATAAAATTATTTTTTTGTTGTTGTTGTTGAATTTTTAGTCAAAGAATTTCTTTAATCTGTTCATTAATTAATCAAAAATATGTCTTAAAGAGTATTTAAAGGGAGTGGCAGTCAACCCTAATTGAAAGTCTTTCATGACATCATAAATGTGGGACATCATACGGTCTCTCGGCTCACATCCGACCTCTAACTCTAATTTATAGAGTCTTATAAACCAGGGGTTCTTGAACCATCTTTGTTGCTCGGACCCCTTTGCAATTCAGAAGAAGGCCAATGATCGCTTCTTGGACTACATGTTTTAGATGTTTATAAAAAAAAATTTAAAAAAAAAAAAAAAAAATTTAAAAAGGAAAAGCATAGCACGGGCCTTTGACACCTTTTCAATTTAACACTCAACTGGTCTGTGGGTTCAGAACCACTTTAAGAGAGAAGGAGGCGACGCTCAGGACAAGCTGTGAGACACAGCCTTGTCGTATACTGGAAAGATCCAGTATCAGTCTAATTAATGGGCTTTGCAGAGAATTTACCACATCAGTTTATCATTGTCTTGACCTGTAGCCAGTACATAAGCTTAATCTTCTCACACAAGCAAAGAAGGAAGTGACTTACAATCAGTGGCGAGCCTGGGGGTTGGGAGTGGGGGTTGGGGGGGCGAAGATGGCTACCGCCCCGGGCGGCACTTTGGGGGTTTGTATATATGGTGTGTGTGTGTGTGTGTGTGTGTGTGTGTGTTAGGGGTGCGCGCTTTTGAAAGGTCGCCCAAGGAGACATTAAATCAAGATACGCCCCTGGTTATTATTAATGCCAAATTGGTATTTTACTAACAAGTAATCTGTGTCAAAGGTTTCCCAAAAAACATCGAGTCACGGCGCCCTTAAGGGCGGAATCTCTTTTGGTCCAAAGACGCCCGCGGTCAAATTAATTGTAACAAGTACAGCCATTTTTTTATGATTTTAATTTTTCTAATCCGTGGCGTACAATTTGGGAACCTCTGCTCTACGTGACAGTCGTCGCTATTTTAAGGAAAAAAAAGGGTGGTTGGTGGTTGGGGGGGGATGACCATGGAGAGGGCGGGATAGTGGAGGACGCGGAGGTTAATTTGAGACGAGTGAGTAACATTGTCCAGTGTTGACACGCAAGTGGACCAGTTTCAACAGCGGTATCGGCGTCCTTCACCTCTATTCGGAGAAAGGATGAAGAGAGAGAGAGAGAGAGAGAGAGAGAGAGAGAGAAGACAGAAAGAAAGGGAGGGAGGGGGGAAAGTTCCACCCTAAGGGCACCCCATGACCTGATCATGACCCCAAAATTCAACACTCGGCACGCGAATCTAAATGGAGAGGTTAGGGGAAAAAAAAATTTGGGGAAAAGAAGTTCACGGGAAAACAATGATAGGGGGGGGGGGGG